CCCGGAGTCGTGGCTCCGGGCTCGGGTCCTGACAGCATCTGGCACCTCCCGGGCCGCCCCCAAATCTCCTACTGCACAAGGACTCCAGAGTCATGATGGAGCGTCCACTCTGTATCGGGCTCTGAGCCAGACTCTTCCCGACGTCACGTCTCCACACCTTGCTGGGAGCGCGCGCGGGCGGAAGTCACCTGCTGGCAGGTCCGAGCCCGCGGCGTCGCTTCCGGAGCCTGCGCGGAACCGATCCTTACCGGGCTCCGAAGGACGCGCTTTCTACGCAAGACCCCTTGACCTCGCTTTACCTGCTGTGGTCGGAGAGGCAGAGATGCGCAGCGCTGGAAGTCGAGTCCCCAGGCGCTGGGTGGTGAATGCAGGCTTCGGAGCCAGGCGCACCCGGTTCGTCTCCCGCAGATGCTTCTGGCCGTGTGCGCTTCTCGCGGTGTGCGCCCGAGTCTGACTCAGGGGAACCTGTCTGGGATTCAGAGCCTTATCTCTAGGATGGGAAGAGGATCCAGAACCACCCCAGGGCTTTCCTAATAAGTAGAACATCTGCAGAGAGCAACCAGATGAGAACCTGGCTGGGAGGCACTCTGTAAATGATGGTCATTTTTATCCTTATTCATATTCCTATTTCAGCCTTACTCAAACCTTTTTAAACACCAGCTCTGTGCCAAGTCCTGTGCTAGATCCTGCAGGTACAGATATTGATAAATACACCTTTAATACATGAAAGCAGATGCTCCTCCTCGGGTTTGACTCCTGGAGTACAAACTTTTCACAAACCAGAATGTCAGGGCATGTTGCCCGGCACCACTGCCACTGTCTGGCTATTTGTGATGAGGCAGCCAGGAGTCCCTGAATTACCCAAGTCTAAATAAAGGCAATATGGGGGGCAGAGGACCCTACCCAGGCAGATTCCTTGACTCCCCCAGATTGCTCCCTCAGATTGGCTTTCTTAACTCCCAGAGTCCAGGACCACACCTCTTTTTCCTTCATGTATTCATTCATTCATTCAATAAATATTTATTGAGTGACTGCATACACACACGAATTTGCACCCCTAACCCAGGGTCTTGGACAGAGGAAAGTCTCCAGCTCTCCTTACATGTACCAGCTTAATTCATCCAGCCCATACTTGCACATGCTCATAAAGTACCTTCTAAGAAATCAGGAAAAAACAAATACCTGGCAGGAGAGAGAGCATGATCACAAAGGTGGTTTTCCCACGGCGAGGCGTATCCATTGCCCTCCAGATGTGCTGACCCCTGCGATTTCCCCAAATGTAGGAAGCTTGACTGCATAACTTGTGGTAGTGGGGACAGGACTGCGAACACGTACACGCTCTCCCCTGGGGGGGGGGGGGGGAGAAATTGGGAAGATACCCAAATTTAGTTCAATGGGGTGGAATGTTCATTCATTTTATGAATATTTTTAGGGCCCTATGTGCCAGGTGTGGCGTAGGTTTGGGGAACACAGAGCTAAGACATCACTTCCTCCTACGCCCCCCAGTTTACGGCCTGGAGGGGCGAAGAAAAACAGAGTATTGCAATGTTTGTCTTATAAACAATGTGTGACTGGTGCAGAGGGACCACAGAAGAAGGAGGATCCAACGCTCCAGCTGGCATCATGGGGGCTTCACAGAGGAGATCTGAGCTGGGTCTCAAAGGATGAGCAGTTTTCCAAGCAGAGAAGGGAGAAGCCCGTTTGGTATAGCTCCAGTAAAGTGAGATCCCAGCTTTCACTCATTTTCAATCATTCATTCATTCATGCATTCATTCATGCATTCATTCATTTTATTCCCCCAGATTGCAAATTCAGTCAGAGAAAGTTGTAAACAAGCTAAATGGCCAACAAAAAGAGATTGGTTAAATCATTTTCTTTCCAAATGACAGAAAGTGTGATGACATTCTCAGTCATGTTTTGATAACTATCTAATCACAGGCAAAATTCTATATCTTGTTTGTGGTGGTAGTTACAAGACTATACACGTTTGTCAAAACTCACACAACTCTACACTAATATGTAAAGTATGCCCTAATTCTTAAAAGTGGGGAAAACCTTTTTTAAAAAGCAAGATACAAACAAGTATATACAGAGTGAGTCCAAATTCAAAAAAGAAAGCAGGCTGTGTTTAGATGAAGCATGTATGATATAAACTTTATCTTTCACACAAAAAGCTCTAGAACAGCGGTTCTCAACCTCTGGGTCGAGACCCTTTGGGGGTCGAACGACCCTTTCACAGGGGTCGCCTAAGACCATCGGAAAACACATATATAATTACATATTGTTTTTGTGATTAATCACGATGCTTTAATTATGTTCAATTTGTAACAATGAAAATACATCCTGCATATCAGATATTTACATGACGATTCATAACAGTAGCAAAATTACAGTTATGAAGTAGCAATGAAAATAATTTTATGGTTGGGGGTCACCACAACATGAGGAACTGTATTAAAGGGTTGCGGCATTAGGAAGGTTGAGAACCACTGCTCTAGAATGTTATTAATCAAGTGATAGAATTGTGATAAAATCAGTTTGTTGTTTTAAATATATACTTTTATTGATTTCAGAGAGAAAGGGAGAGGGAGAGAGAGAGAAACATCAATGCTGAGAATCATCAATCAGCTGCTTCCTGCACGCCCCCTACTGGGCATTGAGCCTGCAACCAAGGACATGTGCCCTGATTGGGAATCGAACCATGACCTCCTGGTTCATAGGTTGATGCTCAACCACCGAGCCAGACCAGCTGGGCAACAAAATAAGTTTTACATGAAAGGAAATTAAATTCTAAGCCTCAAATTTGTAAAAGAAAAACATACACATCCATACATGAAAATATTGTTACTATATGCAATTAGTGTTGTGCATTTCTCTGTATAAACATCACATGTTTTCCTGCAGAGGGACCCATCAGAATGTTGGCAGTGGTTGTCTGAGTGGGGCGTGGGTAGTTTTCATGTATTTCTTCGTGCTAGTCTGTACTTCCTAGATACTTTATGGTGAATATGCACTACTTTTATCATGGCGGGGGGGGGGACGACAAATCTTATTTTAATAAAACCTAGGCAAGAATGAACCATGGAGAATTGCTCAGGAAGCTAAAATGACTTTTAGATGCAGTTATCTGTACCACCCAACTAAACTGTTTCCCAGAAGTATTCATCTGAACAACACTGTAGAGATTGGGTGGCATCCTTGTAAGCCTCAGTCAGGAAAACAGTGAACATGGGAGATGCTTTGGCTCCAATTCTTCTAACGTTTCAATGAAGATAAGGTAATATGGGTGGGGAGGGGGTTGTGTCTTCACAAATGTGCCACCAGCCTCGGCTCTGGATAATGTAGTTAGTTGTCAACCTTGAGCATGACCCGAGCCGCCTCTCCTGTCTAGAGATGCAAGCAAGCCAAGGAATCCTGTGAGATCAGAGTATGTATCACAGAGATCTGGGTGTGTCTCAAACCCCCAAGAATATGTAAGAACCTAATGAATGGTGGTGTGACAAGCAGCCAGAAGGTCTGGGCTGGAGGAGCTGTGTGGGTGGATGGTGGGACAGGGGACCCTCCCTTTAGGAGGAAGAAACGAAGCCCAGAGATGCAAAAGGGATTTTCCTACTGGCACCCCGCCAGGTTGGGGCAGAGATGGGACTGGAGCTTCGAGTGAACCAGGGCTGTTGGTTCCTGAGTCCACCCTGCTTGGATTTTCTATGTACCCCTGTTAGGTGGGAGGTCAGTAAACGAGGAGACAGGGAAAGAAAGCAAATGCTTTGCTTATTCATCTCATTTAATTCTTACAGTAACTCCCCAGATGGGTTCCTATATCTTCCCATTTTGCAGATGAGGAAACTGAGGTCCAAGTGGCTGATAAGCAGGGAGATCCATCATCAGCCCAATTGTTCCAGGGTCCATAGTTGTTCGATTTCTCGTGGTCAACCAATTAACTGAAATTTTGCCCCATCAATGAGCCAGCCTGGATCGTGGGAGCTTGGTTGGTGTGTGTCAGTTCCTAAGAGCAGGGATGATAAAATCACACTTGCAGAGCATTTTACAGAAAACGCTTTGCCCCTGTAACCTCACTCAATCCCACATCCTTTTACAGGTGCCGCCGAGAGACTAGATAACCTGCCTGACGCCCATGATTTGGTCAAAGCTCTGCCTGGAATGCAGGCATGGCTCCGGAGCCCGTGTTCCTGATGCTATATCAAAAGGTGTCTCCTGACCCCAAAGCTGGGGACAAAACCCCTTGACCCGTGCGGGCCGACCAAGGTACCGCCCCCAATGTCCACTGAGGGTCCACACTGCCTCCCAGCTGCCCAGCCTAAAATGTTCCCCATTGTCCCAGCAAATGCCAGGCACAGAGAGTCCCAGCTCTGGGAGTACCCCACACAGGGGTGAAGATTTCTGTTCCCTTCACCCATATAATTAGGTTTTAAAATCAGGTCATAAGCTTCCTGCAACTTGATTTTCTGGATTTCATTGAGTTCATCAGATAGTGTCATCTAATAAAAATACCCAGCTATTATAGGGAGAAGAGCCCACGGGCAGTTCAAACTCTCTGAGATCTGGGCCCTCTTCCCTTAACCTTGACCTTGGGCAAGGTATGTAACCCACACTAAGCCTCAATCTCACCTGTCAGATAGGGACAACAAAGACTAACTTGCAAGCTGGGATGTTGAAATAAGAGTAACTGCCCTTCTTGTCCAGTCACCATTTCCCTCTTTGAAAGCCACTTTCACACAGTGGTTACTGACAGAGACGCTGGAGCTGTGTGGCCTGGTTCAGACGTTGGCTCTGCTTCTTCTGGCCATGGCTGTGTTCTCTCAGGCAAGTTGGTTGACCTCTCTGGGTCTCAGTTCCTCATTCCTAAAGCGAGGATCATAGCACCGCCTCATAGGCTGGCTGTGAGGGCTAAGTGAGTGGGGAAGAGCTCCCGTGTAAGAGCCCTACCCTCACCCCCCCACCCCCCCAAGAATCTGGATTACTTCCTACTTTGCTTCTGACAGGCTGAGAAAGGGCGGGGCCTGTTCTCACCACTGCCACCCAAGGGGCCTCGCAGGTCTTCTGAGGTTTTTTCCTATTTGCGACCATCCCTCGAGCATGTGTGGCTGGGAGCTAAGACAGTCGTCTGAGGCCACAGGGAGGGACTCTGCCCATCCCATTGCCAGGCAGGGATTCCTCCCTCCCCTCCCTCCCCCCCATCTCCCAGGAAAGTTTTGTTTTTCCCATTCCCAAAGAGCGCAGAAAAGCAGTCAAGAAATGGAGAAAAAGGGGAAAGTATTATAATTCTGTAATAATGAAAGATAAGCATAATGGTTAGACTTTTATATAATTTATGAGGTGATCCCCAATAAGCCTAGTACTCACGTGGCACCATCGCTAGTTATTACAACATCATTGACGATATTCCCTGTGCTGTGCTTCCTATCCCTGTGACTGCTTTGTAACGATGTGGAATTATCTTTAAAATTTTAAGTGATTTTTATTTGGCATGTATCTATTATAATTCTCTGGGGAAGTAAACTTACCAACCAACATGAAGAGGTTACTGGTTGGAAGGGATCCACTGATCAAGTCAAAAGCAAGGGCAGGAAATGCCGTCACGTGGAGCTGCAGGATAAGGGTTAATTTTAGGAACTGGGACCGAAGCACGTGGGACCAGTCTTGCTGTGGCTGTGGCTGTGGCTGTGGCTGTGGCTGCTCTTGGCCCCGCCTCTGCCAATGGTGAGTTGTCCTTGCAAATAAAAGAAATATCAATGAGTTTATGCACACAGGTTACTTCATATGGACCTGGGAGTGGTATTCTCAGGAATAAGCAAAGGACTCACATTGGCGACTCTGTGTAGTTCCGCATGGCCAACAGCTGCACGTGTTCCGTGATTGGAATCCCACTCCATCACACTTGCTGGCATTTCCAGTAAGTTTTTTGGGTTTTTTGTTTGTTTTAGATTCATCATTTTAATTTTTTTACGTTTCTGAAATACAAGTCAAAGCACATTTTTGTGACACAGCATGTTAACAAGCTGTACATTCGTCTCCCTACAGGATGACTGAATGGAGGTACTTTAAAACTTCCTTTTCAAAACAACACATTTTATGGAGGGAAGTGCCCCGTTAAAAGAAGACATGGGTGCACAGGCTATCATGTTTAATTATTTTAGTGCTTATGAACACCGAACTTGGAACAGCAGCCCCGCCTACGGAAAATTTGTTCTCTGAAGTATATTAAGTATTCCTCCTATTACAAAAATAAATTAAGTGCATTTGAAAAAGTGGCAGTTTTTGGTACAGGCCTCTGAGCTTGGAAAATTAGGATATGTTTTGACTGTACAGAAGGAACATTCTAGAATCCACCTAAAAACATCTGGCAGAACAGCTGGCCTGAGGCTACTGGGGTTGTTCCACATCAGAGGGGGTCAAAGGGGGCCTGGAAGAGTGCCCAAGTCTCACGGTAGCCACAGAACCACTTACTCGAATTAACCAATTCTGTATAGACGACACAACACTAGCAGAACCACCTCAGCAGTCACAAATTGTAAGCTTAGAACAAATATCTCAGCAGGAACAATATTCAAAATGTTTACAAAACTTTGAAGGTGAAAAAACACTTCATCCTTCAGAGATGATGTCTATGCTCAAGCACTTTGTTTCCAGGACGCGGGGGACAACCACGAAACATTCACAGTGAGAATAAATCCAAGCTGCTTGCTCTAAGCTTAGTGCTTAGGGTGTCGGCCCGTGCCCCATAGGGTCTCAGGTCCGATTCTTGGTCAAGGGCACCTACCTGGGTTGCAGGTAAGATCCCCGGCCCTGGTCAGGGCACGTGCCAGAGGATGTGTCTCTCTCACATTGATGTTTCTTCCCTCTCCCTCCCTTCCTCCCTTCCTTCCACGCTCTGTAAAAATCAATGGAAAAAATATCCTCAGGTGAGGACTAACAAAAAAATTAAATTAAAAAATCCAAGCTGCTTCACTCCCACCGTTCCTGTGCCCTTGCAAGGGGTGTCTTATCTTCTTTGTTCTCAATGTAAATACTTGCTCCCTGGGACACTGGCAGTTAAGCCTCTCCCACTCTCTCCTCATCACAGACTAAGTAGAGAGGAGTGGTACCTTGGCTGCTTGTGGATGCTCCGTAGAAGGATATGAATCATCTTCAGGTTACCCTGGCTGCCGCGGTGCATTGCTATAGCCTCACATGGTCCTTAGCATCTGGGTCAGCCCCGCCTTCGGGCAACAGCTGCACAGTGTGGGGGAGTACAGCCATTTTGATGGGCAGCATTCACTTGAGCACCTCTTCCCAGTCTCATTATCCCAGCCAGTGGAAGCAGCAATATGAAGAGGAGACCGACCGGCATCACGCTCGTCACGCACTGGCACCCCAAGGTGCCGCAAGAATGCAACCATTTCCGTGTGTCCGCTGAGCACACCCATGCAATGCAGCTCTGCTGTCCGGGCCAGGTCTAGTAGCCGGGATGTCTGCGCCAGGATCTCCTACTTCAACTCCTCCAGCTTCCCGCTGCCGGCCAGACTGCAGACCATCCGCTTAGACACAGACCCTCATTCCCTTTCCAGGATCGGTGGCAGCAGGGCCCTTCAGGGTATGAATGTTCACGGAGGACTACGGTTTTTTAAAATATATTTTTAATTGATTTTTTTTTTGAGAGAGAGAGAGAGAGAAAGATCAATTTGTTGTTCTACTTATTTATGCATTCACTGCTTCTTATATGTGCCCTGGCTGGAAATTGAACCCGCAGCCTTTTTGGTGCATTCCTATTGCCCAACTCCTACTGACATACTCCTTAAAATCTGATCAACACAAAAAGAAATGTTTTTACCTTTGGAATATTTGTCATGAAACAAAAGATTGAGAGGATCAGATAGGGTAATTTTCAATATTTGAAAGCATGCAAATACAGTGTTCTCAATAGCACCGAATAATTAGGGTGTGGGGTATTCTGATTTCTCGTTCCCAAGTTTTAAAGATCAATATCTGTGAGGAACTTGGATCCTGTGGCTGCTGACTTACTGAGGAAGAAGGTCATGCTGTGCAGCAGTGCCAGCCAGCACCCGCCCCCACACCGGGCTTGCTAAGTGGGACCGTCAATGGGTGTTTTGTTCGAGTACCTTCAGTGGATCAATCTTGGCACCCAGGCCACGGCAGTACCACCAGGAAGGTCTTTTTCTTTCTTCCTGACACGTCCTTAAAATCACTTTAATGTTCACAGAGGATATGACAACTGTTAGATGTTGGAATTTTTCAGCATGTATACGATGAACATTTTTATCCATTTTCATTCATCTATTCAGCAGACATTGTCATGTTGAGCCACTTTAAGCCAGGCACCGGGTCAGATGCTCAAAATACCTCCATAATTTGAGATGTGAGAGATGGTTGTCTAGGCAGAGTAGCGGACGGACGGATAAGCAGAGATTTGCATCTGGTTTGGAAATAGTGTGTTCTGTGGCCGGGGACGACTCCTTTATATGGGCTCCATCAACGGGACCCCCACAGGGAGAAGCAGAGTTGGGGTTACGGTGGCCGTGAGCTCCTCCTGCCTGCTGCCTCTCCTGCTATCTGGGAAAGGAAGGGAGCTGCTGGGGAGATGCAGAGGGAGGCAGGTGGCTGCACTCAGGGTTGGTGAACCAATGCAGCCACTGGAGCTGAGGTTTCTTACCAGTACTTGGCTTTTTGCCTGGGAGTGGCTGGTTGTCCATCCTCACTGCTAAGACCAAGTTAGTTGGAATTAAAGTTTTATCATTCTATGTTTAAAAAAAAGGGGGGGAGGGGGGGAGCTGGAAAACTTTTTGTTTGAGATTGGAATGTGTGTTGATCTGCTCGGGCCGCTGTAACTAAGTCCCACAGACGGCGGCTTAAACCAGACATTTACTATCCCCGTCCTGGAGGCTGGGGGTCAGAGATCCAGGTGTAGACAGCCGTCTCCTCCCTGTGTCCCCACATGGTTGTCCCTCTGTGTGTATCTGTGTCCTGATCTCCTCTTTTTGTACGGATACCAGTCACATTGGATTAGGACCACCCCAGGGACCTCATTCTACCTTAATCTCCACCTCCGGATACAGTCACATTCTGAGGTCCTAGAGCTCAGGACTCCAACATATGACCTGGGGGGACAGTGCAGCCCATTGCTGCCGCCCTCAGTGTCCCTGGCTGCCGTGGTGCAGACACACCACAGGTCTCCCCTCAGGGTTAACTTCCTGCCACGTTTCCATGTCCAAGGTGTGATGATGGACTCGACTAAGCTGGACTGGCAGGGCTCACAGAATACTTCTTACCTCACCAAGAGACCGGTTTTATTTATTTTTTAAACATTTTTTTAAATTGATTTTTTTAGAGAGAGAAGGGAGAGAGAGAAACACGCACACATTGATTTGTTGTTCCATCCATTCATGCATTCATTGGTTGATTCATGTATGTGCCCTGACCAAGGATCGAACCCGCAATCTTGGTGTCTCAGGACGATGCTCTAACCAACTGAGCTTCCTGGCCAGGGCCCGAGAGACTTGTTTTAAAAACGAATCTGAAAACACTCGAGCTGGGACTCAATTCTCAAATCTCCATTTTCAAGTTCTATTTCCCACCGCCATGCCGGCAGGCTACCTAGAGTCGTTTCTTCCCGCCAACCCCCTGCATCGGTAGGGCTGTGCGTTGGTGACAACCGTCTTTGTGTGTAGCTGGCAGCAGATGCCCTTATCCTGTCTTCCTCTGATTGTTTGATTCACTGTGTTCAGCGAGGAACCGGGAACTGGTGGCTTTCTTGTGCTTTATAGACTTTCACACCAATGCTTAGGACAGGCCACTCATGAGGAGTTTAGGACACAATAGTGGGGTGGGATTAAATATGAAAAAAAAGATGTCCTTGCATAGGAGGCGTCCGTGTCTCCCACGAACGGAGCCTCGGCAGCCTGCGCTGCCACCCCCCACGGCGCTGCCCACTGCCTCATCCACTCTCCTTTTTTTTTTAAATCCTCACCAGAGGTTATTTTTCCATTGATTATTTTTAGAGAGAGTGGAAGAGAGATGGAAAGCAGAGAGAGAAATATTGATGTGAGAGAAACACATCGATTGGTTACCTCCTGCATGAGCCCCTACCAGGGCCCAGGCTGGGGAGGAGACTGCAACCGAGGTAAGTCCCCTTGACCAGAATCAAACCCAGGAGCCTTCGGTCTGCAGGCTGACGCTCTATCCACTGAGCCAAAACGGCCAGGGCCCCACCCACCCTCCTCATCGCCCCTGGGCTCCCCGCTGCCCACTGCCTGGCACCCACTCTCGCCACACCTTCTCCTGGCCCTGGAGGACGAATGACGGCTCACAGCTTGGCCGGGACTGATGAGAACATTGTCCCTGTTCCCTGCAGCCCAGCCTTCTCAGAACCAGCTGGCTGTGACTCAGAAGGAAAGAGGAGAAATGAGGCCTGTTTCATGGGCAGCAGGGGTGGGGTGGGCGTTTAAAATCTGGGAAATAATGAGCTGTGAGTGACGCTTCCCTTGAGCCAGGCAGGTGGCAGCAGCCTCGATGGCCCCGATGAAGCCAAGAGGCCGAGGCAGGGCCAGGGGAGTGGCTTGGAGTATTAACCTGCTCAGACCGCTGTAACTAAGTCCCACAGACGGCGGCTTAAGCCAGACATTAACTGGCCCTCAAGGAGTTTTAGCCCCCGTAAAGTCATGTCAAGCAATCAGCCAACACCGAGCCAGAGGGGCTCCGACCAGACACAGAAGAAACCCCTGGTTGTGGCAGAACTGATCCCAAAGCGGAGCAGGCAGGCTCCGCGTCCTGGCTCTGGGTGCCGCAGGCTGGGAGCCACATGTGGAGCCTCGAGCTCACGGAGGGGCCTGTTCACTTAGTCCCCAGGGATTCAGAGTTTGGCCTTTTTACATCAGGCAGAAGGAGAACGTGCCCGACCTCTTTGCAGGAATCCCGGGAGTTTCCACCGTGGGAAGTTGGAGTGTGGATCCCCTG